AATTGGCTGCATTTGTAGGTTGGAATCTACATAGAGATGTTTGTACACTTAACTGGGGGGGGAGACTGACAAAAAGTCACAAAGCTGAAAATCACCAGCTGCTACTTTAATAACATTTTGGTGGTAACCGTTAAAAGAAAGAAATGAGGATTTTCAGAATATCCTTTGAAAGAAGCAAGGCATTATTTCTGGCAGCATTGTAACAAACTTGCAGTGTGATAAGTTCGTTGGCAGGCGTAACTCTGAATACACATCATTGCAGTGCTTGAGAACAATTCAAGAGTAGAGTTTTCTGAGCTCCTACAGCAAAGGCAGAGTTCTGAAATACAAAACCAGGACAGATCCATACTCCAGGGTTCATGTAAACTATGGCAGATGATATGTTACTTTTCATAACCTCTGTTAGTTTAAGGAACAAATGATCAGAGAGAAAGCAAGCTAGGATTTAATTTCTTTTAGAGGGAAAAGAAAACATCTATTTAAATTATACATGGTATTTTTGAAGCTTTCTCTGTTAATAAGCAGAAATGGGCTTCCTATGCATACTTTCTGATGAATCATGAACTAGCCCTACTGTTTCCCCAGTAGGCTTTCCTCTTTTATTAAGCTTGCAAATGACCTCAGTACTCATGTAAAGGGAGGTCTCAAGCTAAAGCAGCAGCATTTACTTTATATTTAGCGTTTGCCATAGCTCAGAGTTTTAGACAGTTGAGACTTAATTCTTAACATTTGTAGGAGAATAGGGTAGGAAAATGTCTCATGTTCCAGAAATCTCCACAACGATCTACCTTCGTGTCCCTGTTTGCATGCTTATTTCTAATTAGGCAATTTAATTTCACAAATTAAATCAATCTTTTTTCTCTTTCTTAAAGCTGTGGATGAAGCTGTCCGAATAATTACTGGAGGCCTACCTGAAATAGCTGTGGAAGGCAATGGACCTGTGGAAAATAACGCTATGCTCAATAAGGCTGTTAAGAGACCACATGAAGATTCTGACGACGATGAGGAGAAAGGATCTGTAGTTCCCCCTGTACACGACATTTACAGAGCACGACAGCAAAAGAGAATCCGGTGAAACAATTTTGGAGTTCTACTGCGACAGACAAAGACTTGCATTGAGTCCATCAGTTTCTTAAAAGTCAAGCATTGAAAAGGGACAGCTGCAAACAAAAAAAATCTTGAAAATGGTTTTGTTACTGTGGTGCCTCTTCTCCCATATGGTTCTTGATCTGAAAACAGCCAGAACAACCTTAGAATGTGCTCTGAACTAACTAGGTTTTCAAAACCAAAAGCGCAAAATGTCAAAACTGCGTTTTGTTCTACAAGGGTGTTCACATCTACCACTTGAAATCTTGTGGGTTTTCAACAGTTTTATTTTAAAAACTGGATGGCTTATACTTGTGAAGCATTTTTAATTCACATTTTCTGGAAAACAGTTGTTCTCAGTTTGTTCATATAGTGTCCTGCCTTATTGTTCGTTTTTATTTATGGCAGAATGTATGGAATCTGTTTTGTAGTTGAAAATGGGAAAAAAACATTCCTTTAAAATAAAAGGATATCCATAACATCATGCCTCATTCTGGTTTTATTCAAACACAACAAGTTACTTCTTAAATAGTACTCAGCCACTTCAAAAGCGATGTTAATAAGACCATCACAGGAAATTGATTGGAGCATACATATTAGAATTAGCTTTTTTGCCATTTTTCTAGAGGATACAGTATACTTTTGCTTTTAATTCCATGACTGCTTAAAGAAGACAGCATCGTAAGACAAACTCGGTACGTATTTCTACTGTGGATTGTCCAGGAGTACTAGCTAACACACTCTGTTCCTGGATAACTGCATTGGTCTTCCACCTAATGTACAATGCTAAATGTTAAATTAGCTACATAGTTTAACCTGTTATTTCCAAACAAGCTAACAAAAACACTACATGAACTTCCAAAGCAGTTTCTATGCACATGTTAGATTTTAACTTGTAATTGACTATTCAGACTTGCACTCTGATAAGACCAGAAGAACCTCCGTGGACTACAGGAAAGTTGGACAGTCAGACGAGTTGCAAGACATTCTGCCACCAGCAGTACAGATGACTGTAGGTCAGTGCTCCTCTCTACCAGACTAAAAGGTGAAACAGCGTTATGTATAACCATATAAACGTTCACACAGAGGTGGGGTCTGGCCTTATCAATCCTAGAATTTCCTTTCTGCTTTGCCACTTAATTGTATCTCCCTGTTTCTTTTAAAGACGATGTAGGATGTGTGCCCCCAAAGGTGGGACTGGAGCCAGATGTGGGTACTGCGCTTTTTTCTACATGAAGCCTTAGGATCAAACCCCTGCTGCGAGGAGAGACGGGACTTACTGTATTGACCCTGCGAGCAACACGCATGCACTAGTGGCAGTACAGTCCATGCTTCGATGGCAAGAGTAAGCAGGAGGTGGCAGCCATGGACATCTGGACCCTGAATTCCAGAAATGGGAGCAGCCATCTCCTAGATTAAGCAAGTACAGTTTTATCGACGATAATGCAGTCCTGTTCATTCTGGCATCAGTCACACAGTTCTCAAAGGGTTTTCTACGTATGTTGTTTCGCCATGATGTTGTACCTCCCCCTGTCCTTCAGATCATCCCCTACAGCATCTACATTTTTGTAGTACACATAATTCACAGGGGCCTTTAAAGGCAGCTTCTAGGCAATACGAAAATATAAAAATAACAGCAGCACTTTATAACTTCTGCAACTCTCATTTAACAAAAATGAAAACAGCTTTGTCTTGGTTATTTTGGTTTTTTTAAATCTCTCTAGCAATAATGCTTCTGGTCACTCTGCTGTTATGCAGACTACTGAATTAATTTTCTGGAGCTGCAGAGGTATAGGCTGTATTTTGAGGTGGACCCTGCACTAATAACAAAGCACAATAAGCAGCTGCAGCAATCTTGAAGACCATTGTAGTATCCTTTGTGGATTCAAACAATGAAATAGACCACACCAAATACCTACTCAGAAGTCTTTTTTCTGGCTAACCAACCTACTCATTTTTGAGCTATCAGAAAAAAGATTCACAGACATCTATTTTACTATCCAAGTACATTTAGCCAAGAGAAAAAAGCACTTGTCTGAGCTAGTGATCTCTTACAGGGTTGTGGTGGGGAAACCTGGAAAGGGAAGCACCAACACTGATTCATAACCAAGTGCTTCCTTCTAAAAGTTCCATTATTTTGGTTGACTGATTAATAAAATGAACTTGGATGTTAGCAATAAAAGTGGCCTTTTATTTATTTATTTTACATACTTTTTTTTTTTTAAAGAAGACAACACATTCTATTTTGGATAGTCTGGTACTTGGGACACTTCCTGTTTTTAACTATGAACTTTGCTTTCATAAAAAAATCATCAAATTTTGATTACTGTAATACAGCGTTGTGCTCAACTAGAGGAAAATTTCCAATGGACTTACCTCCTAGCTGAGCCTGAAATTGCAGTAAGACTGTAAGACCATTGAGCTCTTCTGTGAATACTCATCTATACGACATGTAGCTCATTAAATTCATGACCTACAAACATTTTAAGTTTCAATAACACCTCTACAAAGCTGGAAAAAAAAGTCTTCTACTGAAAATATTCCCTATATATTCAAACTAACATTAAATCATTCACTTCTCACAGGACATTAAAATCACTTATACTTCCAATAGTGCTCTGCACTTCCTGGATATTTTTGAAGATGTAATTGAATACGAACCATCTCCAGTTGTAGTTTTAAAAAAACAAGTAAAATTTTCAGCCTAAAGTTTCACACACTTTAAATCCACCTTCTGAAAATGACAAAAATTTACTTTAAAATTAGTATTTCACATAAAAAGGAGTAAACTACTAGCAAAAAAAAGGTAGGAAATGCAACTTTTATCAAAACATTTTAGCTCTGCCCTTCTGAAGTCTTTACAAGAGATAAATACAGCCGCAATCTATAAGATTGCCACCTCTGTAAGTACTGTACATAGCAGAGGACAGTTACCCAATAACCAGAAAATTTGCTACAAAAATATATTATGTGTTTTGTAACATCTGCAGGTAAACAGCAAAAAAATGCCATTAAAAAATGCAGTAAAATGCAGAAAAAACTGGTAGCCTACCATACTAACAATAATGTTACAATAAAGTGCTGTTTGGCTTTGTTTTTTGCTTGTTAAAGTTTCTCTTATCTAGAATTTTAGCTTACTTTTTCAATCTTTAAATTTGTTTTAAAGCCAAATCAACCCTTCTGGGAAGGACCATAGCTAATCTGCTCTGGGGCAATTAAACTAAATTCAGGGTAAATTAGAGTAAAATGCCCTAAAATGAGCCACTTAAATACAAAGTTTGGTTCTTAAACTTGTTTACCTAACTTCAGCTCAAAAATCTAAAAATTGCAGCCAGAAAACTACCAAGACATCCCCCCCCCCCCAAAGGTTGCATACTTACATTAAAATTGCATATCTCTCTCTCTCTCTCTCTCTCATCATTTACTTCAGAACCCCTTTTGCATCTCATGTATTTTCCTCATCAATCATCACTAGTGAATTAAAAGGAACCAGTATTTACACGGAAAGCTGTTTTCCTAGACAAATATTGGTGCAATTTTTAAAAACAGCTGACAAAGTTAATACCATATCGGTAGCATACAAACTGGTTTTACAATTCTTCTGACTTCCCTGCAAGTTGGGATTCTTCCTTAAGCAGTATTTTGCCAAGGACTGCATCATAGTAAGGGCTGAAGACCATTTTGTTGTAGTTGACAAGACGAACATACTTGACAGCGATCTCTTCCAGCTCTCTTTGAATAGGGCCTAATCCTCCAGGAATAGCAGGGAATGATTTCTGGTGACTAGACGCAAGACAATTCTCCAGAAACTTTTGAATTCGAGAATCTGGAAAAATTGGACCAAGGGTTTTGAGACAGTCAATTAGAAATAGTGTAATCTCATGTAAAACACAGAAAGCCTGAACATAGCAAACAAGAACCTGAAACAGATTCAATGAGAAACCATGCATGACATGCCACCACCAGTGTTACGAAGACAGACAAGCGGTCACTTGAGAACAAAGCATTTTTGTCAAAGCATACCTATGAGCTTGCATATGGTGTTATCCTGATTGGCCACCGCTTGGATTTGTCCTTTAAGTACAGTCTCTCTCTCGGCTGAGAAGGGTGTAAACCCGTGCTGGGAGAGGCAGCTGTTAACTTCAGCGCACACCTTTTCACTGACAGTAGCCAGAGCTTCCTTCACGTTAAAGGAGCTGGAGAACACGGAGTAGAGCATTACTTAGCTATGCTAGTTATTCACTTTTTTCCCACCTTATAAAAATAAACTATCCAATTACAGTTGCCTTATTTATCAAATGTAATGGAAGACACATAATCCAGAACCATCAAGAACAATACATTTTATGTACATAAAAAATAAAGTTGAGATATAAAACAAGAAGGTGGGATAGCGTTAAAGATTTCCAACCTGAACAATCCGTGCAAGTAAGAGCTGCCTTTCCTGCTACACAGACAGCTCTGACTGACTAATGCAAAAAAAAAAAAACAAAAACAAACAGTTATCAACCCAGAATGAGCACAGCAATCATTCTAAATATGCATGCAGCTTACTATATCACACTCAAATTCTTGAGGGAGCCAGGCCCAAACTGTGAGCATGGTTACCTGCTTGCAATCTCATGTGGCAACCAAGCATCATGAAAAACATACGCTGACAAAAGGTGCACATTGTACCTTTGAGCAAAAAAAGACAGTTCTGAGTAAGCCGAATAAAAATTGCCAGCCTGGGCTCATAGGGTCCTTCTCACTTCCTCTACATATTCTGCAGTCCACAGCCAGAGAGGCTTAAATTGATTATTTACTAGGGTGAAAACAGAACTACACTTGCCTCTAGGTGTGTGACTAGGATTATTCAATACTCACGGAAGATGCATTCCTGTCAGCAGCACCTTGACAATGGTTTTGATTTTCTCAGGAAATCCAGGCATATCAACGAGTGCCGAGCCTGCTGCACTGAATGTCACCAGAAGGACTGTCCCAGTCAAGAGGAGTTGCTCCAACTCCAGCTGTATTTCCTGAAAGCGGGTCTGGTCCATAAGCACTGTCTGCAAAGAATGAGGAAGGCAGCACAGAATAAAGTCAGAATGCTGGGCTGTGAAGTGACATAGTGATACCTACCTACTCACATCAGTGAAGGTAAGACAAAGACACAGAAAAGAGCAACACGCACTCAGCGGGCAAGTATCAGGAACAAAATGAAAAGAATTCATTCCTATTTTCCAACTAAGTAAGTTTCAATACTGAAAAATAAATATCTATTAGAAGAGCTACAAGAGCTCTCAATCAAGAGAGAAATGTTTTAGTATTGTACTTGGTTTTGCCTGTTAAAGTTTCTCCTATCTAGAATTTTAGCTACAAATCCCAACAGCTTCTGTTATATCCCAGAAATAGACAAGCACGGAAATCAATTTTTCTGTTAAATACCTACTTCTGGAAAAGGCCTGTTTACATGATCCCACTTTAGGAGCTTCAGATAGG